AGCGCACTGCGGAGAAGGTTTTTTCCCTGCCGCTAACACATGGCAGCTTTCCGAGTTGTGCTGCTAGAACTGGCATTAGGTACCCGCAGCCCGAGCAGAGAAAACCCAGCAGGGAACGTGGTTGTGGGATGGTGCTCGAGGCAGGCATTCAGCCACTTGAACACCTCCACCGTTCCCTCTCTGCCTGTTGCTTCTTTCATTCCCCTTTTCCTTCTGTTTTAAGGTGAATCTTTCTGATTGCCACAACGTCATCGTGTTCCTGGCCCCCAGCGTGGTAAGTCAGTCCCTTGCACCATGACTTGTTCTGAGCAAGCTTGAAGGAGCCTTTTCTTAGAAAAAAAAAAACATTAAAAATTAAGGCCAAGTGGGCATTGCTGCGAGCGAGCAGTTTGGTGCTCAGCACTACTCACATTTATAGAATCATTTCGGTTGGAAAAGACCCTTAAGATCGTCGAGTCCAACCATTAACCCAGCACTGCCAGGCCCACCACTGCCCCATGTCCCTGAGCAACACAGCTACACGGCTTTTAAATCCCTCCAGGGATGGTGACTCCACTACTGCCCTGGGCAGCCAGTTCCAGTGCTTGACAAACCTTTCTGTGAAGAAATTTTTTAAAATATCCAATCTAAACCTCCTGTGGAGCCACTTGAGGTCACTTCCGCTTGTCCTGTCGTTTGTTACTTGGTGCTGGTCCCAGCCGTGCACAGGGCTAGTACCAGCCCTGTGTTTTGGAAGGGTCTTTGGTTGATGTTGCCTGCTTGACACCCACCGAACCAAGAAGCTGCCCTGTGGTTCTTGGTGGCACTGCCACCACATGACTGTTTCCTAAGGGTGTTTGGCCTTGGCTGTTTCTCTCTTCCCAGAAACCTCCCCTAGCCACCAAGCTCCTTGCAGAACTCCCTGACGAAGCCCGGGTGGTGGCCGGACGCTTCCCCTTCCCCTCCTGGACCCCCACCAGCACCCTCGGGCAGGGGCTGGAGCAAGTCTGGGCCTATGACATGAAGGAGGTGCGGCGAGCAGCGCAGAGTGAAGCCCAGTCTAACAGCAGCCTCATTAAACCTGGCATTAAGGGTCAGCAGTGGTAGGGGTGAGAGTCTTTCCAGCCCTTGGGCTCAACTCAGGGCAGCAGCGAAGGCTGCTCAGCCAGCCTTTTTCCAAGGGCTTGCAGGATGGCAGCCTCTTTGGTTTTCCACAGAGCGGGCAGTTTGAGGAAACAAGGGAGGGGAAAGTCAGACCTAGAAATCCTGGAATTATTGCAGGATTTAAGGGCTAAACCTCCAGTGCCTCTTGCTGTACATTTCCTACTTTATTTCTAGTTACGTTTTTCAAAATAAACATTTGGTCAGTTTTTCCTTTCATCCTTTTGCTTTGCCTTTGAGCTGTGGGGTGCTCCAGGAGCCAGAGCAGCCGCTGCTCCCGTTCTCGGGCTTTGCTCTGCTGTCCCTTTGAAAGCAGCTCAGGAGGGAGTTCGTCCAGATCAGCTCTTGCTGAAGGATTGGTTTGGCCCTGCTCACCTTATATAACATTCCCTTTTCCACTCGAACACAGAGGAAAAAGAAGCTTTTCTCACCGTAAAAGAGCAGCTCATCCCCTTTGTCTAAACTCCTAGCCCACAGTCTAGCTTGAACCAGCTCTGGCCTTACCTCTGAGAAGCGGAGAGGGGAGTAAAGACAGGAGCAGAGTTAGCTCGGGAACCTGTCCCCTGCAGCCCCACAGTAATAAGCTGCCTGGGAACCTGACCCCATGTCCTGAAGCGTGATGTGCTTGGGGAACAGCAGAATTCCTGCAGCTGAAGGGTCAGAGGATAGACGAGACACAGTTGTCTTGTCTCATTTTAGTACCGTGAATTTGAGACTGAGAACACCCACGTGGTTTCTCTGGCTGTGCTTCCCAGCTCTCAGCCAAGGAGGGATACTTGCCTCGGCCAGTCCACACGTCAGAAAGTTCCTTCCTTTGAAATCCTGCTCTTTCCTACCATCGTGCTGCTCCTCCGAGCTGTGGTGGAGAACTACAGTTTGCGGCTGACGGTCCTTGGGGCTCTGGGCAGTGAAGGAGCATCAGCCGCCCCAGCACTGAGCACATGATCCTTCCTCAGCTGGAGGATCTCCTGCTTGTATCTGCGAGGGGGAAGCAGCACCTTTGCAATCACACGTACACAAACATAGTCACAATCTCGAGCGATACGTTTTGATGTGCGTCATGTTTGCTGCGTGCCAGCGTTAGTTAATAGAGAGCCCCATGCTGGGGGGAGGCAGTGGCAAGGTGAGGCGCCAACAGCGTGGTGGGTGCAGCGATGTCGCCAGCAATTAGCCTGGGAGATAAACTTGGAGCATGAACCAGAGGCCGTGCGAAGGGGGAATCCTACCGTCTCACCTTGCGAGGTGCTTCTCTATGTATTCCTGCAGCTCTGACACCTGCTCTTCTGCCATGATTGCTCGAGTCAGCAGCTGGCTTCTCTCCTGCTCCAGATCCTCCTGGAAGGGCAAAGAAACATGGAGAGAACAGAGAGCTCTGTGAGATGGGAGCGAAGTCGCTCAGTGCTTCTTTGCGAGACAGACTGCTTCCCCATCACTCGGCTCCTGCACCGTTTAGCCTTAGGCTACGGAAATAACCGAAAACTGATGCATTTGGGTAAAGGTGCGTGGTGACAGCAATACAGCTTTTGTCAGACATCACCACTCTAGCGCATCAGGCAGGCAGACCAGCCAGGATTCCCTGACCAGAGCACAGACACGGGGCCCAGGGCCATCCCAGGCTGGGCAGTAGCCCCTGCCTACCAAGCCACGATTTACCTCCCCCAGAAGCTTCACAGAAAAACTGGCAGAGTGGTGGCTAGATTTCTGACATGGCTTTCACACCTTTCCACCAGTAATTTGTCACAAAGGGAAGTGACCTTCCCTTTCAGATAAAAAAAACAAACCCTAACATTTGTTTTCTGCACATTGTCTTGTGTTGTCCCCAGGGCAGCACATCTTTGACATGTGGGTAAGCAATAAGCTTTTATGCAGGTGGGCTGTTCCTGGCCTTTACCTGAGTGGTGTGTGCGAACTCCAGGATCTGCTTCCTGACCTCTGCCCAGCCCTCCTCATTCACCTGCCTAGGAGAGAAAAGCAGATTTTCATCATGCCCAAGGGTTCAGCCTGTCTGCAGGTCATGCAGCTGGGTGGAACTCATGGCTGCCCAACCATAAACCCCCAGTGCCCTGAACCTTTTCTCTCCCAACGCCCCAAACTTCACATGGTGCTGTCCCTTGTGCCCGGGCACGAGAGACAGCCCTTCTGCCAACCTGGGATTCCCCACTGCGCTGGCTGGGTTTGTTCCAAGTTCACATCAGCGTTTGTACATCAGAAGACTCCGTGCAGAAAGAGTCCTTACCCCGACATCGAATTTGATGGAAACAGTGATCAATGCCAAACGCTGGGGCTTTTCATGTTTGGGAGCACAAACCCACCCGTTCTGGTCACTGAGGGTGATAGGTGAGCTGTCTGCGCAGCCCAGCCGTGGGAAAGTTCTTCTTATTCTATCCCAGCCTGAATAAGCAAAATACAGGTCACACATCTGATGCTGGGGGAATTTGAGTTGTGCGAAGGGAGGTATGCGTTGTGTTCTGCGACTGCCAGAGTTCCCTCTGGTGGCTGCAGCCTCCTGGCTGGGGCGCTCAGGAAATGATGCCTGAGATTCCATGGGAGCAAATGCGAAGAGAACAACAAACAGGGAAGCCACTCAGCCGAGGAGGATCAGGAATTATAGCTGAAGGGCTGTGGTAACACCAAGCTTCGTGCCTCTAGCTAGAGGAGCAAGGTAGCAGCATGGATAAACCCATCAGCACACAGAAAACAAAGCATTTGGAGTGTGTATTCTCTTGGCGGCTAAAAACCCCACCTTAACAACACGTAGCATGACTAAAATTTAGGTTCTGGTCCTTCTGTGCCTTGCTTTTGTGGTGACTTTGCCAAAATTAATGGATCTGCTCAAGGACTACTACTACTTTTCAGTGTGGAAAACATGGCAGAGCTCAAGTTTTTTCTCTGAGACGCTCCTCCAGAGCCCAGTGGCTCAGGCCACTGACCGACTCTTCAGTGCTGGCATCCAGTTAATGAAATACTTGACATGTTTTTAAGGCTACCACATTTTACAAGGCTCAAAAAACCCAGCGCAGACTTCTACACTTTGTTCCACCTCTGCCAGCTATTGCTGATAGAGTTTCAAGAGCCTAACAGAGCATGGACAGGAGAACCATCAAAAATGAGCAAGTAAAGGGCAAGTCGGGAAGCTGAGGAGGTACGGGGCCACGTAAGTGTTCCCGTTCAGCTTCCTCATTGGGAGGGAGGAGAAGCAAGACCATCCCAAATGGGTGGGGTTTCACTTGCCTTTCTCAAGTTGAGAGCCACTGAAGCACTCACGTGTGTGCTTAACTTCAGCTTCCAAAATGATCAGTGGGACTAAAACCATGATTAAATCAAATGTGTGCTTAAGTACTGTCTTGGACCAAGGCCCAAATGACCAAGTCATTTCACCACAGGAAATGCTGCATGGAGACAACAGCTGGCTTTTCTTCTCAGATGAGTCCCTATCCGCTCACTTTCTCCCTGTTTGTTACTGTCTCCAAGCACAGCAGAAAAGCCTCCTCAAGCCACATAGCAAGGAGAATTCAGAATTAGAAATAACCCGAGAAATGAACAGCACTTACTGCTCAGGAGACAGTGGAGAGGCAGAGGTTTCTTTCGTTTTTTTCTGAAGGCAAAGGAAGAACAGTATTCCTGTAAGCATTAAACCATTGCAATCTCACCCCAGACCCTGCCGCTTCAAAGCAGTGCAACACCTCTGAGCACCCCTAACAGCCACCAGTGCCCTGGTAAAGAAGTGATGTGCCACGCAGTCTGAAGGTTTAAGTTTCCCATCCTCTGAATTTTTAAATAAATGCATCTCGTGCAAATCAAGAGACACATCTCTGTCCAGGCAGAACCCGAGGGAGGACACAGAGCTGAGTGGTGCGTTTCTGACTGTGGTCTCCTGCTCACTTAGGCAGTCCTGCCGAGGCAACGGCATTCAAAAGCAGAAAGCCCCATCCTACCCTCCCTTACCTCTCATTTTAGGAGTGAGTGAGCCTGCTGGCCTGGCAGCTCTCCCATAACATCTGCTAGTCCTCAGCCCTCCCAGAGCTCAGTGACCCCAATTTATGGGGCTTCCCAAGCCTCCCGGATGTAACTGGAACTCACCCCCTACACAGCAGAGTTGAAGCCACAAGGGGACTGCTCAGACATCCCATCTCTTCCCAAAACAAGAAGGCAAGCAAGGACTACCCCTGCCTGTGCCACAGGGAATGCCTAAGGAAAGGGCTGAATCTATCGCTCAGGAGACTCTCCCCACCACCTCCTGCCCAGTTTTGCTGCTGCAGAAAGCCAGCAGCCCAGCCAGCACCTTCTGCAATTCACATAGCTGCAGCTCCAGCTTTGCTTTATCCTCCCGCAGCCGGTTTAGCTCCCGGGTTGTGTTGGTCAGCAGCTCCGGGTCTGTGATGGAAAAGTGGAGCTCAGCAGGGCCACAATCTGCAGTGTTGCTGCCCAAGGACCGGATCTGCTCTCGCTGGAGCCTGTAACATGCCAGAAGGGTTGTTGAAAGATAGTTCAGTCCCTAGTAGCTTTGGTTAGGTAACAACACCGAGCACTTCTGCTGCTGGTGGAGGTACCATTCGCTTGCGACCTGCTGGCTTCCGGCCACCAAGAGCCAGTCCACCTGCAAAGGATAAGCGGGAGAGCCCAGCAGTATGCACAATATTCCCAAAAGTGTTTCTGAAGGGAGCCTGTCCTAGAGCTATTTGTGGCTTTTATGCCACAAGAATTTCTGCTGCTTCCCACAGCTCAAGCTGCTGAGAGAGCTGCAGAGCAGAGCTGAGAGCACTGCAGGGACAGGATGGGAGGCAGGAGTTATTTGCGGTACCTCTGCATTTCCACATCATCCAATGTGGAATCAATCTCTCTCATCTAAAATTTTTTACGCAGCAGAAATACATGAGCAAAGCATTTCCAGGGTTGCAAGAGCACCTGGACGTGCAGCTGGAGACACCTTGCTCCTGGCTCGTTGAGAGCAGGGAAATAAACCTGCACCCTGGATCCCCTGTTCCACCTGCGAGCCCTGTTTGCCTCCCTCTTGGTCAGGGCTCTGGGTGCTGCAGGGCATTTGCACTTGGTCCTTAGCAATAAGTTGAAGATGCGGAGGGTAGCCCAGGCCCTGGCTTAGCCCTACCCGTAAGCAATCAGCAGGTTCTCGTGCTTCTTGACCAAGTTCTTCATCCGCTTCTTGTAGCTGCGTGCTGCTGTAGCTAGCTGCTCTTCCCGAGACCTGTAGGAAGCTCTGATATCCTTCAGCATGCTGTCCACGAAGCGTTTCATGGCAGCATGACCAGCTGGGGCTTTGCTAGGACCTGCAATGCTGCTGGATTTGCTGTCCATGTAGTCCTTTAAACATAGAGGGAAAGAAATCAAGGTGATCAATTTGTTCCTTAAGGCACGTAACGCATTTCCCAAAAGAGAAGGTCCAGGCATATTTGTGCTAACAGTACAGAGAACGGGGCATTTCTTCCATTTTTGAAGAGCAGGAAAGACTAATTAACTTCCATCATGGCCCTTCAGGACAGAGAAGGCATCCTTACTGTATCAGTAACACGAGATGGTGTCGGGAGTTACTGTTTCTAGTCCCATGCCCTGCGCTCTCTGCTAGCTAAGAGATGCTTCAACATTGCTGTGTTGGAAGCTAAACTGTTCTTAAAAGCAAAAATTCTTTTGCTTAGTCTCCTGATCCATCACCACACCTCATTCTTTGGTACCAGCCTTCTCCCAGCAGAGAAGCTCTTGCCAAAACCTGCTTACTGCTACCTAGGAGAGCTGAAAGAGATTTCTTCCCAGTCCCAGTGCTCCATATAATCATGTACCCATGCCTGAACCTGCCTGAAATGCCCACCTTGCGCCAAGTCCTCACCATGTTCTGCTAGCCCTACCCTACACTGAAGAGGCTTGTTTTCAGAGCAGGTCCTGGGCTCTGTAGCTGACCAGGGAGGCTGGCAGAGCTGCCTGCAGGGACAGCAGCAGGGTTACCACAGAGGCAGCAATGCAGCCAGCAGTGGCAAGAAAAGCTGTCGAGGCAATGGAGATTATAAGCCAGCTGGAAAGCAGCCACAGTAAATAAGAGGATCTTTCAGTCCAAGTAATCTCACCAAGAAAAGTCCCAGCAGCAACTCACAGACCATTTTGTGTGGCTGCACAGAGAAGCTGAGTGAGGAGTGGGACCGGCATCTCCACCCCAAGGGCACAGAGCCCCCTTCCAGCTGCAAGCACGGCTCCCCGCTCCCCACTGCCTGCTCCGCTCCACAGCCCAGCAAGGAGGGGACACAGCAGCAGCCTGCAAGAAGCAGACAGCCAGCACAGAGAGACCTCCCCAGGCTGGGACAGCCCCTGGAGCTGGGGTTACCCACCGCCACATCCTTGATGTACTGTGTGAGCCTGGAGCGATATTCCTCGTTCAGCTCCTTCAGCCGGAGCTGCAGCCGGGAGTTCTCCACCTCCACCTCTTGGAGCTGGCTCTGGGATGTGAGCAGCACCTAGGCACAGCAAACATCTCGCTGCTGCACTCATCCTCCAGCCAAGCAAGGGACACTAAGAAGCTCCTTAGAGATGGGGAACTTCATTTCCAGGTGTTCAGCTTCCCTAGAGCTGGGAAGGTTTTGGATTTTCACGAGACGTTTCACTGGAAATGTTGATAGGCTCTATTCCCCTACTACATTTGGTCACTTGCAATTCCCCACACCCTGCCCCAGTGGTTTCACCAACTTTTTCTAAATATCAGCAAACAAAATTCCTCCCACTGTCCATGGCAAGCAGCACCTTCCACCATGTGCAGCACACCCCTCGAGAAGGAAACAGCGCGGGGAGGAGCGCCTTGCTGTGACCCACTCTGACATGTTGGAGTGCCTCTGTATAAGACATCCACCTCCTGCTAGCTCCAGGAGAAGTGCATGGTGCCCAGGAGAAGTGGGATGAGCAGAGGCAGTCATGGAAGAAAGCCTGCCCTTACCGCTGACTGCTCCACCAGCTTGTGCTGGGCGTCCCCGATCGCTCCCTTGGCCTCCTGCAGCTCCTTCTCCATCGCAATCCTGGGTGCATGAGAAGAATGCATGTTTATTTTAAACCCTCAAACTTCTCTGTCAGTCCAACACAGCAAGCTTTGAGAAGGAAATTGCTACAGGATGACAGGAATCTCTTGGCAGCAGCAGCTGCCAGCCCCCAGATGGGTGCCACAGAGCTCTTGCAACCGAAGGCAAACGTCCTCCCTGGTCAGAGGGTCTAGTTCTGCAGCATCCTCGCTTAGAATCATGGAACAGTTTCAATTGGAACCAACTTTGTCATAGCCCTAACATCACTAAACCATTTCCCTAAGCGGCTTCTTGCAGCTTTTGCTGGGACACTGACCCCATCCCAGCCCGTCAGTGGAAGAACCACTGTGGCGGTGAGGGCTAGGGCTGAATTCACCTTGGACTGACACACAGTTGCTGCATCTGCCCACAGAAGGTGGGTTTTCAAAGGCGTGTTACGCCAGTTGGGTACCTAAAATGCCATGAGCTTTGAAGCAGGCAGCTACCCCCCTTAAGAACCTTGAAAACACCAGTTTTTACTTCCAGGCCTCAATTCTTCGAAGGGTAAATCATTTCCCTCCCTGTACCCCGCCAAAAGCAGGCTGCCTCCTCTCCTGCTCCCAAGAATCAAATTCAGCTGCAGTGAGCCTCCTAAATGCTCAGTCAAACAGAACAACATGCCCTTAAACTCTTTCTTCCAGCTTCTGCTGCTGCGAATCATAGGTTTTCTTCATTTTTTCCAGCTCTGCTTTTATGTGATCCTGGTTTCCAAGCAACTGAGGGACAAATAGAGAGGAAGATGAGACAGGGCTGAGCTAAGAGAGGGATTTGTGGATGAGGAAGAAGCAAGGGGAGGCTCCAGCTGAGCACAAGTCCAGCTGAGCAGTGACATACTGGGGACAGGACAGGTTTAACTGGGAGCAACCAGTGGTCTGTAGCACACCACAAGCACTGTCTGATCTGGAGACAGGGCATGTGTCGCTCTCCCAAGGGAAATTTTCATGCCAAGAGTCAGATTCCCAGCTGGAGCTGGTGGTGGAGCCCAAGCTGGGGCAAGTTTCATGTGCTTTATCCCCCCTGTCTTCCTCAAGTATCGTCAAGAAGAAAATAAGTAAGCGTCTTCTGCACTTCTTGGCTTTTAAACTCCTGCTGCTGTTCACCCAGGGACACTGAATGAGGAACACACAGCTGCCCTCAGGTTTTGCATGCACAAGATTTGGAGTTATTTTAGTCATTTTTCAACTGCACAGCTTTATTTTTTTTAAATAAATCAAGACATCAGCTCATCCACAAAATACAAGTTAGCACCAGGAGGTGCCAGCCAGTAGGAATAAATTCCCCCTCTGCTTCCCCAAGGATCTAGCACCAGACTGCCACACACTCACGTTTCCCTCCAGCTTTTCCCGCTCGTGTTCAGAGGCAACTACATCTTCTGCCTGGTTTTAGTGAGAGACAGAAGAAGGTGCCTGTTAGATCCCTCCTCTCTAGGGTGCTGGCGACAGGGCAGGGAGGTCCTCACCTTCACTTTTCGACCAGAGAGATGGCGCACCGTTGCTCTCGCTCTTTCCGGCTTGACAGAGGATTCATGGGCCATGGCAATGGAGCGCTTGCTCTCTGTGCAGGGAAGGGTGCCCCTGGTATTGGTCAGGTTGAGCAGCTTTAGGCTGAGCTCTTCATTCTTCATGATCTGCCAGGTCAAAAAAGAAGGAAAGAGCTTCTGAAATGCTGCCTTTCCAGCTCTGCACTCTGTCTGCTCAACATGTAGCCGCTGTGCAGCCAAGGCAGGCACTCGCATGCCCTCCTGAAAGCAAATTTTATTTTTAGTTCTCTCTCACATGTCCAAAATATCAGTGATTTTCTAATTCTCGTGGAAACGCAGGGTGTCATCGGCAGGTGCAGGAATTATTCACATGTAATCTTACTCCCTCTGCCCATCTTGCCCTCTTGTTCAGACGCAGATCCTGGTGCCACAGGGCACAGTTCTGCCCCCGCTGCTCTGTCCTGACCCCCAGTCTCCCTCCTCCTTTGAACTCTGCACCCCCCACACAGCTTCCCAACACTTCAGGCAGGGCTTCCCCTGTACAATGGTTTCGAACAGTGCTGGCCTCCATAAAGCAAGAGAAGGGCCAAGCCTCCATCCATCTAGGCTGATGCCACCCAGCTAATTCCAGTTTTGTTTGAGCTCATCCTTCCAGCAGCAGCCAGCCCACAGCACCGTGTAGGCAGCGAAGAGATTCAAAGCAGCGCTGGTGCGAAGTGACACATTTCCCAAAGATAAAGAGGATCTGAATGAGAAAGGCTCCGTTACAGGTGATCTGGAAGGAACACTGGGGGAATTCATGTCTCACGGGAGGGTTTCTATGTAGATAACAAAGCTTTGATGGGGTTTATGACTGGGGACAAGCTTGAGTAATTGTTACCATGGCAGTGAATCGGGAGGATGGGAGGCAGAGGTCATCTGAGTCATCCGTGGAGAGAATAGCTTATCAAAAGATAGCACAGGGTGGGCTGAGGGAGAGAGGAGAGGAGAAAAGAGGCTGACAAAGAGGTGAGATATACAGCTGTGAAAACTGACAGCTACGTAGAGACAGGCTGCTTGTTCTCCAACCGAAAACGATCCATCTGCAGCTGTCAGCCCTGACAATTTGATCCGAGGGGGTCACACAAACGCGAGAAGCACCAGCTCGGGGCAAGAAAGAGGCAGTCCCAGGTTTGCCATCGTCCCCTGTGCTCCTGAGCCTAGCCTGGCTCCAGGGAAAACCCCAGCCTGGAACCGATTCACAGGCATTCGGGTTCC